TCACCTTATGAGAGACAGAAAAAAAATTCAGACAATGCAGTAAACAATGTTGAAATACTAACAAGTCTGAGATCAGGAAAAAATACCTTCTAATTGGTGTTTAGCAAAACCTGCTACAATAGAAATGATGAATTCACATTAAATTCGTATCTCCAGTATTAGTGGTCTTCATAGTGCCCACTGACTTTTTAACCTCAACAATGATATGGAAGACCACTTGCATTTTATGTTTCTGTTAACAGTCTGATGGATGCAAGCAAGTAGTAAGGACAGGACTAAAGTTTCAAGCTTCACTACAGACTAATCCAAAACACAAATTTAATTAATGGAAAATGAGACAAAGCCATAACCTGGTAGTATAATTTCTACAAAGAACACCCTGTCTTACCAACAATTAATTTTTTTAATAAATATGAGTGTTGATATGACTGCAGAAAACTGTTTTCAGCATATTTGCCATTTAATCAGAGCCAGTAGTCCAGAGATTTGCAGCTGGGCACAAACTCTAAACATTTGAAAACATCCACCCTGTTTTCTTTCACAGAAACATCATGCACCTAACAGCCAATGCTGCCCTTAAGGCATGCCTTACATATTTAATATATACAGGTATACATTTAATATATACAGTTAATTAAAACCTAGAAACGAGACTACTTTGTGGCTGTAAGACTTTTCATCCTGAGGTATCAGCTGAAATCTCTTTGAAGCCCATCCATGAGCATCCAGCTCCTTGTTCAACTAAGGAGAGGTATGTAACCCTAAACCCATCACACTAAGCATTAAACTCAAGTCCCTTTGAGCAATTCATCCAGCACATGATGGAATACAGAAGCCTCAACTATCAGATTAAGGCAGGAAAACACAGAAAGGAAAGTGAAAAGGAGCCACTAATCATCAAAATATTTAGTTTCATACATTCACTCTTGTGGAATGGGCTATGAATGTTGAAATTACTGCACTGTCTGACACAGAAACATCACTAAATGATCAGCTAACAAGCAGGGAAGTCAGTCTCTCTCTCAGCTGTACCACGTGCCTGATGCTCAGTTAGCCCGTGGGTTCAACCAAGACTACAGCCGAAATAAAGGCACAGTTTTCTGCTGAATTACTGAGTCTTCTTCTCGCCCACTGCCACCTCTCCTCCACTCGGAAAAGAGGGCAGAAAAAGCAACATTTTAGGATTCCATGCTTAGAATTTCATGGTAGAGGCACCAGTTAAAACGGAAAAATAAGACTTTTCTAAATGTCACTTTCAACTACTTGCCAATAGATACGAAAGTCATGCTGAGTTCACCACTTCCCACACACGCTCGGAAAAATTCCAGAAACTCCATTACCACCTCAGTTACATTTCCACAGCTGAGCTACTGACATTGTAGCACTGAAGAAAGAGCATTGTTTAAAGCCTTATTTACCCAAACACGGCTAAGAATTTTCTGATGCCTTTCAAGGCATTATCAGCAGAAGCAGCACATTTTATACAGCCAAGGCATATAGCAGAGAGACACACTATTCATGGCCATTCGTTTCATACAGCCAAGGCATACAGCAGAGAGAAGTGCTATTCAAGGCTAGTTCCCATAGTCCTGCACCCTATGTGCACATTTCTGACCACATGGGAAGTGATATGAAGCCAGATAAACACATAGTGCTAAAAATGCAAAATTTTCTCCCAAGGTAAGCACGAGCCACAGCCCTGAAAAGGCTGCCTGGGCTGCTCCACGCAGGTCTCACCCACCCACTCAACCCCTGCTGCTCTGGCACTTACCCAGCTACAAGCAAAATCCAGGAGCAGCACTCTCCTCAGGGTATCCCAACTTCTTCTCTCATGCAGAAATGAGTCTTCACTACTCCAGTACTAAAAAAGCAGCACAACCTTCTTGAAACCCCTAAGAGGCCAGCAGTAAAACCTAAGCAGCCCAAACAACCTTCCTTGCTAAGGACAGCAAAATTTACAACCTGCTACATTAGTGTAAACCCATTTTCACCTGTAACAGCAGCCGATGCTCCAGAGTGTGACCCCCTGTCATTCCAGCATCACTCCAGCGTGGGAAGGTTGAAGTCCAGCAGAGGAGCAGAGCAGGCAGCTGGGAGTTAGCTTGTCTCATTTTTTTACTCCAAACATGGCAGGATTGTTTATTTATTTGTTTTAACCTTCCTGGAACAGCAAAACCCTCCAGAATAAACATAACAGACCCTGAACCAAAGCACACCCTTAATCACAGCTCCTGTGCTGTCAGCTGGCCTATATTGAGCGGGCTCAGCCTTCAGGGACACACAGCTGAACCAGATAGACTGCCTAAAGCTCTCAAAAGCAGCTGCTTTTTACTTTGCATGGTACTGGAAGCATACAGATCAAAGCAGGAGTTCCCAGCTTTGCTGTGAAAACTAAGGCAGGAAAATAGCTCCTTGAATATTGCTTAAGATTAGTCTGTGGTTTGGCTTTTTTAATCAGGATCCACGTGGTTTCTTGGTTGTAATCACAGGACATCCTGTATTGGGTTTGCATGGCAAGGCTTTGGTAGCTGGGGGACTGTTGGGATGGGTTCTGTGAGAAGCTGCTAGGAGCTTCCCCTATGTTCAATAGAGCTGCTGGCCGAGGCTGTGTCCATCAGTGATGGTGGTAGTGCCTCTGTGATAATATACTTAAGGGCAGGAGGGAGAGAGCACATGGGACCAATCTGCAGCAGCTGGAGAGGAAAGAATGAAAATATGTGAAGCAGCCCTTCAGGTACCAAGGTCAGTAAAGAAGGAGGGGGAGAAGGTTTTCCAGGTGCTGGGGCAGAGGTTTCTCTGTAACTTGTGGTGAAGACCGTGGTGAGGCAGGTTGCCCCCCTACAGCCCATCAAGGTCCCATGACCACCTGCAACCTATGGAGGACCTCACACTGGAGAAAGTAGATGTGCCCAAAGGAGGCTGTGACTCCATGGAGAGCCCACGCTGGAGCAGGCTCCTGGCAGGACCTGTGGTCCCATGGAGAGAGAAGCCCATGATGGAGCAGGTTTGCTGGCAGGACTTGTGATCCTGGGAGGGACACAAGCTGGAGCAATCTGTTGTTGAAGGACTGTGCCCTGTGGAAGGGACTCACACTGGAGCAGCCTGTGAGAAGGACTCACATTGGAGAAGTTTGTGGAGAACTATCTCCCTTGGGAGGGACCCCAGCCTGGAGCAGGGGAAAAGTGTGAGGAGTCCTTCCCCAGAAGAACAAGGAGCAGCAGAGAGAAAATGTGATGAACTGACCACCAACCCCTGTTGCCTGGCACCACGCAGGGGGAGGAATGAAGTGGAGCCCAGGAAGAAGGGAGGGGAGGTGGGGGAAAGGTGTTTTAAGATTTGATTTTACTTTCTCATTACTCTAGTCCGATTTGATTGGCAGGAAATTAAATTTATTTTCCCCAAGTTGAGTCCATTTTACCATGATGGTAATTGCTGAGTGATCTCTCCATCCTTATCTCAACCCACAAGTCTTTCAATTATATTTTCCCTCCCCTGCCCAGCTGAGGAGGGGGGTGACAGAGCAGCTTGGTGGGCGCCTGGCATCCAACCAGGGTCAATCCACCACACATCTCTACCCCTCAAGACTTAACCTCCTTTCTCTTCTCCTTTACAGCCTATTTATTTCTCACCTGGTCCTGTTGCTATGCCAAGCCCATATAGATGGACTCCCATATGTTACTCTTTTCCACACGATATTACTAAACCCCCGTGATTAAAGACTGTAGACTTTCCTTTTTGTGGGTTTTTTTCAGAACTGCGTTAAGGACCGATCAGGCAATCAGTAGCAGGCAGTGAGGGATGGGGAAGGGACGGGACGATCGATAGGTAAGGGCAGTAATCCCTTATTCAGGAAAAACAACAGCAGTAAATGACTGCAGGCTTAATTATCCCTGTGGTCTCATGGTGGGATTTCAGGGACAGTAAGAATACCTAGTCTCTTTGGACTGCTGTAAATTCATTCCTGTAAACCCCAATCGTGCAGAGAAACTGGGTCAGCCTGGTTTTCTTCAAATGCATCGAGCCAGGCTCTTATCCTGAGGTGCTCTCTCTAGAATAAAAAAAGCTACCAAAATTCCACTGCTCTTTTGATATTGCTTCATCCAGGAGATAGGGGACTCAGCCCTAACAGCACATGGATGACTTGACCTCCGGTTCAGCATTCAGTGATGCAGGAGCAGCCACCATCAGATTCCACATTAACACATAGTCATATTCCCTAGATTGTCTCGTTGTATGTTTGGTGCTAAAAACTGTCACTTTATGCAATACTGAATCCATATGAATTAAAAATGAGCTTCTTCATGACTGTCTGTGTATACCCATAATAAAAGACTTCAACATTCAGAACTTGTGGGAAAGTCTGTGTCATTCATAAATTATGAACAAGACTTCTTTAAGCCAGGGTAATTACTACAGGTATACAGCACTGTGCAGAAATGTAATATTGACATAGAAATGCCATACTAAAATGTCAATATTATAAAGCCTACAATAACTGATTAGATTATTTTGGATGAGAACTTTAGCAGATACGAAACAACACAGCTTTTTTTGATGCTGACAGAGGCTGTCCAATTTACTATCCGTAAGTTACAATTATTTTTCTGCTGCTTTCTAGTCCTCTGTTGCATACATTACGGAGCACAATTACCTGCACATCTCATTAAGGCTGTAAGAAAAAATAAAATCTTGCAATGCAGTTCACTTTCATTCACAAGCCACTAAAAATATTTACAGACAGGAGAAATATTTTAGAAACATTTTATGTGATTATGGCCAAAATGAGGAAAAAAACATCAACAACAAAGAAGCCTGTTGCAGAAGATGTAAATCATATTTTAATTTGAAATAAACAATTGCTACAAATCTTTTTCCCCCATGCTTTCCCATCTACTTTGTACCTCTGTTACAAAGATGGTAAAAACCTTCCTATTCTGAATGATATAGATATGTAGACAAAATTGAGACAGCATGGGAAATAAAAAAGTCTTCCACCAGAATTGAAAGGAAATACTATAATTTATTTTAAATCATTTTAAGCTTAATTTAGAAACCGTTTCATTTCAGCCAGTTACAAATGCAGGTTGAATTTCTAGATCACAGCCAGAATTATTGTGATCTCAAATATAGCAGTGATTGCTGCAAACAACAAGATTTTTACATTTGTTTGAGATGCCATCTCATCCCAGTTCTTGCTAATGTTTACATACTTGTATAAATCACTATACATAGAGACAGAGAAGACAGGGGGGTTGCTGGTTTTGTTGTTGTTGGCTTTTGAGGGAAAGAGAACCAACATTCTCTGTTTTCTCTCCCTTTGCTCCTGGCAGGTCATGGTTCACAGAGCCCGCAGAAGATCTCTGTTTACAGACATGGCACGTGCAGCCCTGTGGAGCTCGGTGGAAAGGATGTACATTGTAGGTGTCCTGCTCTTTCATGGGCATCTATCTACCCTCTTAATGCTGTCCGTTCCTGTGGAATCAGAGGGCTGCATTGGTAGAAGTTTCATATTTAGATTACACTTATTACTGGATAAAGTTAAGAGGAAAACCAACAAGCTCAGCATATTTCATGGAAGATATGGTTAAACAAATCTTTAGCAATGAGATCATGCAAACACAAACAACTGACTGTACTCTGCTTATCTAACACCTACATTCCAGCTCCAGCTAGCACAGGAGGTCTTCCACAGGTTTCTAAAGCTAATTCTGCAAGGACAATCCAGTGTGCAGCCTTCCCTGGTGAGATGTTACTTCCATAAATCTGATCTCTTGCTTTGCTTTCCTTGATTTCATCTTTATGAACATGATGAGGGAATTCAAATGGAGAAGCAAAGATCCTCCATAGATTACACACATACACTTGGAGTTTTGAAGCTAGTTTTAAGAGCTCCTTTATTTAGACTCACAGACTCACAGCATGGTTGAGGGGGAAGGGACCTCTGGATGTCATCTGATCCAATCTTCTACTCAAGCAGGGCCACCTAGAGCCCTTTGTCCAAGACCATATACTTCTTTGCTAAATTAACATTGCTTTAACAGGCTTGCCTCTATAAGACTCTTTAAGGAGCTTTATCTGTTTGAGGCTTTTGAGGGTAAAGTGGGTCTCTGAAGTACATATTTTTGTCCCTCTTTGCTTCTACAGTCAATGGGTTTCACACATCATCTCTAAAAGTCTTTCACAAACTACAGAGCATAGAAGTTCCTTAGCTCCCCCAGCTTGAACAACTTAAAATTAGACTTTTTTTAGTATTTTCATAATAGCTCTCAATATAGGTATTACAGAAAGACTAGCTATACAATGTTTCTGATGGTCCCTTAGTTCAAATTATGTGGAACAGATTATGAAAGATGTCCTGTGACATACTAACAGGTGATTAACTTAGGGACTGATGTGCCCATGTTTCCTTCTTATGTCAGAGCTAGGAATTTGGCTCTCAGACCATTTGTTGACTTGGAGGGAGTTTTAAAGTATATTAGCTAAATGTTTGAGCTAATACTTGCAAAAAGGCACAACTTCTAGATTAGACATGAGGACCAGATTCTGCTCTTATCTGTTCCAGTGTGAGAAGCCGCCTGTTTTGTAAAAGCTGACCCTTGTACTGGTGCCCTTTTCATGCCACGCTGCACTGAGGCAAAAGCCTTCTCACAACTATCACAGAAGAAAATCTCCTTTATGCAAACAGATCCCAAACTTGAAAATGAGAAAGGAATTTAGCTGTAAACCTCATCAGGATACATTTCAGCATGGAAGGTTACCCAAGTTTAGTAATGCAAATTTAGACCTAACTATCCAGGGCAAACAACAAGCAGAAGGTCTTAACCTGCTTCCTGTAGGCTCTTAAAGTTTCACCTTTTTCTAATAACTTGGAATCTGCTAGCTAATTATGACCAAATTTGACTGAAGGATAAAGATTGCAAAAGTCATTAATCCCTCCTACCAGCTCTGTAAAAATAGACAGCCAGGGGTAGTTATCTTGATATTAAATGTACCCAAAAGAAAGCAGCAAGAATACTAACTTTGCTTTTGAAAAAGTAACGTGCAATAATTTTATGAGAACAGATGGGTTTACCTCTCATAAGAGCAACACAAAAATCAAACTACAAACTGCACTGCTGGGGCACCAGTTGATTTCTGACTCAGAAGGCAGAGCACTGCCCACTGAGTCACCAGTGCTTCCAGTCTGCTGACAAGTCCTCCCATCAAAACACCTTATAGCTCTGGGAGCATCATCATGACATTCACTATTTGAGTTGCGTAATTTAACACTATGAAGGATCAAATTATTTGCTAGCATAATTCCATTGATTTCAGGAGAGGTGCAGCAGCCAAGAATTCAGGTCATAATTCACAGTGCTGTCATGGAGCCCAATCTTTTTATTTAAAAAAAAAATGAAAAAATACTTGCTGTACCTGGCTCTGCATCTGCCTGCCTTATGAGAACAGATAAAAATCACATTCTGTATTAATATCAGGACATTTGGCTGCAGGCCACAACATGCACTTTATAATAATAAACTGCTCACTGGAAGAGGTTTTGGTCATGGATAGGTTAAACCCACAAAACAGAAGCATAATTACTATGGTTACCAGAGTAGAAATAGAACAGGGATTGAATAAAAGATTCTGTCTTCTTCATTAGCAACAATCTCCTGAGGTTGCTTGCATTCTTGTATTACTTACTGGAAGCCCAGTACTCTAAAACCCTGAATTATGATGTGACATTCTCAGTCATACTCACCTTCACCATCATGTCACCAGCTGTCAGCTTCCTGAAAAAGTAAGGTTTGAGTTTACTGAAGGAACAAGGTTTTTATTATTGGGAAAAAATTTGGAGGAATAAGATATCTTTTAGATTCCTAACTTTACATTTCAGAGTCATTAATACCACTTTTGGCAGAGTTTTGACAAAGACTACAAAGAGAATTGTGGAAGAGGTCTCTGAAGGCCTCTACAGATCAGCTTCCCTTATATATGGGGAAGATGGACAGAAGGAGCCTTCAGACCTTGATGAACCCCATGGACAGGAGAACCCATGTTACTTTGTTCCTTACATTGTCCTACCACCACTCGCAGCAACCTGAGGGCCAGATGACGCTCCTCCTGTGAAGGGGGTGAAGAAGAGCTGTTGAAGGACTATGACATGCCAAAGCAACCAAATGCTTTATCCTGCCCTTAGGCCCAAGCTGCCTCGTGGGGGAAGACAGGATTCAGAGTCACCACCATCTCATAAAACACATCTGGAAACAAAATCCTACCTCTTGCAGCTACAGCAGCTGGATCACCCCAGCAGCAGCGCACTGGCAGTGCCCAGCACAGACAATTTTGTGTGCTCCACAAGCAAATTGGGTGCAGAGCACCAGAGGATCAGTGGTATAATTGGCATAATTTTGCTCCTTTTCCCCTTAGAAGAAATAGCCACAGCTGAAACTCACTCCTACTGAGAAGGGTCTTGAATCAAACCAGGGTGCATTGCATAAGAGCTTGATGCTGCAACAAAAGATGCACAAACCAGTGATCTCGTTTCAGGGTTTTTCACCACTGCCTACACAAACAAAGCTAAAGGTTTGTGACAGCTGCTTGTGTTTCGATTATCTCTTTTGGGATCTCAGAGTTCAAAACTACATTCTAAAGAAGCAACTGGCAGAAGGAAATTATTTCTAACAGCCCATCCACAGAAGAGGCCCCATTATTATTATTAATTACTCATATTGCCATAGAACCTAATTGTCCCAGCCAAGAATAGAGGCTCAGTGTGTTACATTCAATACAAACAGGCGGGTAAGGCCCAGGCCTTGCCCCACAGACCTTTCCCTCTACAAACTCCACGTTAACCATTGCCAGCTCTGCAAGAAGCCTGATTTAGTGGTCAATGTACCCTGTGATTTAGCCAGCCTGAGCTCCCAAAAAACTGCAAAAGTCATGCCTTGCAGAATTAAAGAAAGATTTCCCACGTACTCTCATTATAAAGGGCATCCCACGTGCTGGAGCTCAACACAGTAAAGCGTGTTATTTAACTTTTCCTCATTGCAGCAACAGGAACAAGGGGTACTTTGTGGGGTGAGGCTACCCCAAGAGAGCAGGCAAAGGGAGGCGAGATGCAGCTGGAATTTGGTCCTCCCCCTCAATGGACAACTAAATGTGGGGAAAGAGCGAGGAAAAAAAATGAAGCGTTTCAACCAGCTGTAGGGATTAGTAGGTGCCGATGTGAAATTCCGTGTCACAGCAGAGAAGAGTCACGGTTCAGAAAGGGATGAGTGGGAAGGAGTAGGAAGAGTGTTACAAATACCGGGATGGCAGCCAGGAGCGGTTGGCTTCCAGAGCAGGAGAGGGCAGAGCAGAAAGGGCAGCTGGGGGTGAGAGATGGCGATGTGTTCTGGGATCCCAAGTACCCTCCATGTCCTCTGGGATCACCAAAGCCCATGGGAGAGGGACCACGAGAGGACAGTCAGGCGAAGGGGGCAGCTCCACAGGAGGCAGAGATGCAGGAGGAGAGTTACTGATGGTCTCTAACGACAAGGGCTTCGCCACTGAAACACTGCCAAATAATGAATTAAGAAACCTAACAAGTTTCCATAAGCTTCTCACCCTCATTTTTCCTTTAGTTTGCGTTGTGTTGCAGTAGCAAAACTACCAGCAAAACCATTCCTAAATGGCCTTACTGGTCACACTGGCACCAGTGGGAAGTATTGCCAAGTGCACACACACTGGTGAGTGAGCACAGGGCACTTGATTGCTTTGGCTTTCTGGCTGACTGGCTTTTTAAAATGGAAGCTTCTCTGGAAAATAAATTATTTGACTAGATCTGAGAAAAATCTGTGTTTTCTTTGTGATTTAGCCACAGATTTCCTATGAAATTCTGGCTGAACCACAGCTCCTGGGCCTCCATTACTCATTTGTAAATTCCCCTTATTATTCCTTAATAGCAAGTCCCTGACAAGGTTGTCTATTTCCACTGTAAAATATCTAAGCTTGTATTTATATTCCTGAAACTCATTGTGCCGGGCATCGCAGAATCCCCAGGTAACTACTGTCATGCAATAAATAACAATTTATCCCACCCTGCTGAGACTAATAGGCAAAACAGCCTCTCAGGAAAGAGGCGATACTTTGATTTTTTTCAGAATGTTTCCACTTTAGCGGTCTGTTCTTTCACAGGGTAACAAAGAATTAAACCTGTTTACTAACGAAATTACTCTTTAATAGCTACAAACCATTTTATGCTGATGCATGTTTTCATTACTGCTATATAGATGTGTCACCGGTCAGATTCGTGCCATCAGTGGTTACTCTAGTGAATTTTATTTCACCGTAGGCTCTTCCCCCTAAAGACCCCAACCAACGCCATGGATCGATGAGGCTGGATGAGGTACCCATCCCTCTGGCAGCAGCCAAGGTCATGCTGACTCACTCCCTCTGGCTTTTCCCCCGCGTCCAGCCAGTGCTCCGGGAAGTGCTTGACTATTCATAACGCTGTCACTTGCAAAGCTGCAATTCCCTTCTCCACAGACAGCACAAAGCATTGGACTGCAAGCTCCTAAAAATGTTGCTTATCAGATTTTGGACTCCCTTTCAAGTGGTAGATTACTTTCCGCTAAAAGAAAAAAATAAGTGATGAAAGACTTGAAATAGAGGCATCGCACTCTCAAGCAGAGAGCTTTCCTAAGGAACAGCTGAGCTGAGGAACCTGGCAGGAGAGAAGTCTCTGCCAAGGGGTTTTGGGGCAGAATTCAGGTTCTCTTTTTCCAAACTCACTTCTTCAGAGTGGAGTAATTAATACCCGCATCCTTGGGTAACAGCAAGAAAGCAGCAACTGTTGATACCCAGCCCAGCTTCAGCTGTGGGTGTCAAACTCAAGCCCTCACTGGTAAAGAAACCAGGGGGCCCATTTTAAGACAAATCTTGCAAATAAGGGATCTTCACAGAATAAGAAGTGTACACAGCATGATCTTTAACTGCAGCTCTTCCTGTTATACTCAGGGAAGGGTTATTTATACCCAAATATAGGTTTCTGTGCTCATTTTAGATTTAAGTTTCTTCTCATCAGTCTCGTCTGCTCCAAAAGCAAATTCAACAGCCATAAAACAAAGGAATGACTCCCAGTGTATCTAATCTCAGCCCAAGGAACAGTGAGTAAAGTACATTTCAAACACCAAGTGCCAAAGCTATACTCAAGGCATCACTGCATTTTCTTTTCTTGAATAAATCTCTCTCCACAAGCAAGAAGACAAAATACTTCAAATCACAAATGATGAAGCAGTGTTAATTAGATTACAGCAAAAAAAGGTTTAAAGCCAGGAGCCTAAATGTGTATTCCAAAATCTACATATAGTCACCCGAACAGGTGTAACCTGTAACTTCAAAGTATGTGGGCAAAAAGAAAACACATAGGTTTCAATACAAGGTTGCTTGGCCCAGTAAATAAAGCAAACCCAATGTTTTCCATGACAACTAAAATATAGACCTTAGGGTACAAATTTCCAAGTATCTAAGTTTGATAATCCAGTTCTATCACTTTAAAATTGATTTTATTTTAGGAATAGAATCAGAGAATGGTTAGAGTTGGAAGGGACCTTAATGATCATCTAGTTCCAACCCCCCTGCTCTGGGCAGGGACACCTCCCACCAGACCAGGTTGCTCAAAGCCCCATCCAGCCTGGCCTTGAACACCTCCAGGGATGGGGCATCCACCACTTCCCTCAGCAACCTGTTCCTGTGCCTCACCACCTTCACAGGAAAGAATTTCTTTCTGCTATCTAATCTAAATCTAAGCATCATTGTAACTTCAAATTCAGCACATTTGGGAAAAAAATGGTATCAGTCAACTGAGTTGTTCCAGATTTGCTACTATTTTTACACAGCCGAGCTTACAGCATGTTAAGTGAAAGTTTTGTTATTATCAGATGGCAACCACCAGCCCTTAACCGGCAGAAAAAAATGAAAACTTACCTAATGCCCAAGAAATGGAATTACCTAATGCCCAAAGTACTACACTCCTAATAGACATCATGTGCCTCCATCTCTCATGTCGGTATACATAGACAATTATATTCCATCTAACCAGTGTTTCTCTTCTATGTAGTTATATATCATGCATTTTATTTCAGAGAGGAGTCCTTGTTACCATATCCTTACATTTCACTTAAAAATTTGTCACCAAGAACCCAGATTTCTGAGTGAGATTTTATGGATTAGTAATTGATTTAGTGCACATTTTTAGCTCGCTGCAGATGGAAGATACATGACGGCTGAAAACTTGCTCCTTCAGGTTTCTGCTGGGTTTTGTGTTTGGGTTTGGTTTTTTTCCCTTGCCCTTACACATTTAGGGCTAGCAAAGTGCACGCACGTGATCAGCTACTGAAACTCAGCTGAGTTATGACAATTCACTAAGGTGCAAGGAGAAAATCACACGTTTGAAACCCTGTAATTATAGCTATGCCAGCTCTCCCTTCTTTGGTGAGAAGAAATCTGAATTCTCAGTTTATAACACATTTTATCATTTCCATCTTGATGACAGTGAGGTTTGGCAGCAGGCGGTGGGCACAAACTCAAAAATTAAACCATTGCCCCATTTTACCTTTGACTTACCCACGTAGCCGGGACTTCAACACTGGTCTTCAGGTCATACCTGCTATAAATGACCCTGAATATAGGGCACCGTCCTGAATATAGGGTATGGTGTTACAGATGGCATTCTTCACATGAGATGCTTAAATAAAACATTTCCTAACTGTAGGTGGGAATCACATGCAGTTATCAAAGAAAGAAAGGACTGGATGCTGATGTTCCCCTCAACTAAACTGGGATGAGCCCTGCACATTTGCCATTGCTGTGCAGATGTGGAATTACCCAGAACAGTGCAATCTTTTAATGCTTTCTAAAAACTCTGTGAGGTATTCAGGGTATGAGAACACCTCTTCCCACCCACCTAAAAAAAAAAACCCAACTCAACTCGTCTATATTAAAACTATGAATTATACAAACTACAGGCTACTGAGAGCACATTATTAATAAGAGAAAACATAGATTCAAGCTGGGCAATAGTGGTTGAGCATCCTGGATTAGTCATCAAACTGAGAATCAGAAGCTATGCCTACACAGACAGCATAAC